TCCCTACAGTAGAGTAAGGTAAAATAATATACCTGGGGGAAAAAAATCATTTATATTTATTTCACAGTGCAATTGTTTTACAATATATGGCCATTACTGTCACAGGAATAATACTATAAAATTATTATTATTATTATTTTATTCCAATTTGTTTGGCTTCCAAATTCACCAGTGAGACTGAGACACTATATCACAACTAAAAAGAGGGTTGAGTCCCCTTTAAATGTCAAAAACAAGTACATTCACCAGCTTTTTTCTTTTACTTTGCACAAAGAACCTGTGTTGGAGCTCTTAATTTTGAACTCTCAAAGTGCACCAGATTTATGAATTTAACTTTAAAATGTACAAAATTTTCTTCCGGGTGGCATGCCCCCGGACCCCCCTAGAAGGATCGAGGACCACCCACCACAGTCTCACAAAATCCTGTGGGAAACATTCACATTTCTCAAGTTCATCTTTTATAATAATGATTTACAACATGTGAGAGAGGAAATAATACCACATAGTAAAAAATGACTCTTAACAACTTTAATCCTTCCTTAACGTTTAAAAGAAAAAAAGCACCGTCAGCTGCGAGCAAAGGGAAAGAAATGTCTGCTCTGCCTTGTCTTTACTCTTTTGAAGATACCAAACCTTTAAACTCTTACCTCAGAAAAGCCGAAAGAAGAGAATGAATGTCTTGATGGCGAAGACGGGCTGCAAGGTTCTGCAAACCTTGAAACTTCTTAAGTCCTTGACTTATACTGATACTTGATCTTCTAAGGAGTCTCATTGGCTGAGGAGCTAATGTGGGGAGGGTTTGGGTTGGGGGAATCTGGACCATAAGGAGACCCACAGAATGTGCTGGATGAAAGGACATTGGAAAGCTGAGGCACCCAATCGCTATATCTGTCATAGCACAAGGCAAGTTAAGAGGGAGAGCATGCTAAGGGTCTGAGGCTCTTTTAGAAATCTGACTGTTGTAAACAGAGGGACACAAAATGTCTTTGTGGATGCTGTTGGGAGCAGGGCACAGGGTAGACGTCACAGTCCTTTTGGACTGATGATACAATAGCCTAGATGTACAAAGCTAAATTAGTTGAGCTCTTTCGCTATGTAAAGTTGGATGATTATTTGTACACATCTTTGTTGTTGTCCACAGTAACGATTCTGTGTGGAGCACGGTTGACCACAGAAAGAATACGCTGTAAACAAAAAAATAAATAAAATCAACAGTAATCAACAGTGCCTGAAGTGTGTACACCAATCAGTGAAATGAAAACTATCTTAAGTGTAACTTTTTTTTCAGATTTAAAATCATAAGAAATAGTTTACTGATACTGTTTTTGAAACCAAATCTTCGCATAACTACAGGAAACACTGCATCTAACAATGCTTTGGAAAAAAAACATAGCATAGCATATACATCAACCCAAATATGGTTATCCAACAAGCATGTGTCCTATTCTTTGTACTAAACTCCTGAAACATTGGTGTCTGTTTATATGATATGACAATAGTTTCCAAAAGAATTTTTAAAATGCTCATGAAGTGACTCAGAGCAGTTCTAGAGATTCTGTTTATGTTCATGTACTCATATATATTGAGATGGCTGAAAAGACAATCATTTGGTATCTCTGGAAAGCCCTGAATGTGCTCTGTACAGGACATCCAGACTTAAACCTGTGACATGTGAGGTCTCAGAGAAATTCACTAAAATATAATGTCCACTACAGAGGCAAAAACTCCATAGCTGGGTCTCAGGAGGATATTTCAGGCTGGGAAATCTCACACTCATCCAGGCCATCCCATACACCCAAACAAATTCTAAAACACAGACAACCTTATTTTTGTATGGCCATCACAAAAACTCTTTAGGCTGGGGACATGCAAAATAATTAAAAGTTCTCTCCTGAACTGCACCTTCACGTTCATTTTAATTTTCAGTCTCTTTATTTTGCCCTGATATCTCGTCTCTCATATGACTTTAATACTCAAGATTTAACAAAATTGTTCTTTCTAAATTGCCTACATGTCAAAATTAGTACAATAATAACTATTACAACATCTTTATAGAAAAATCATAATGCTGAACATGAGTCATATTTTTCCCTTACAAAAATTAACCATGATTTTATTATAGTAAAAGTACAGTAACCATGTATTTTTATTTATTTATTTTTTTGCAAATGGATTACCATTTGTATTTATTTTTTACTACACATTCCATGGTTAAACTATGGTTAGTGTAACAAAAAACATGGTTAATCTGTGGTTACCATGGTCCATTGTCTTTGGATTTATAGTAAAATCATTGTTAATTTTCGTAAGGGTTGTGTTGTTGTCTGCCCTAGCTCCCCCTAAATCTATTATAAAATATACTGTATATTTATATATTATAAAACGATTATTTGTCTGCTAAATTACTATTGTAACTTTACAATAGATAATGATGTCCTTTAGGCTTGTATACAGTATTTTGAGTGATGACTATTTAGCAATGGGCTGCTACTTCTTAAGTACAAAGACAAAACAACAATATGATATTTACAGATGAATCTGACCTGCACTTGAAACCCTGAACAGTAGTGTTGCTTCTCTGCTCCACCTGTGCGCTTCCACAGTCCACTCCGTTCTCTCTCTCTCGCATTGTTTACTCTGATCGAAACCGTTTAGCGGAGGCGCGCGAGCCGAAGCCTTGCCAGTCACGTCTAACCGATTCATGATTTATTAGAGATTTAATATCGAATGGCGAATTCGGAAATAATCGCTTTAATACATAAGGCAGGCAATTATGTAATAATAATAATATATATGCCAAAATGTGGCATATTCCTTGACATTCCGCGTAATAGGAGTTCCGTTTTTATGACTGGATTCTACAAACCACTCCGTGTTTTCCGCATCGCGGCCGTATGTCTCATATTTTAGAGTAGTCAGTGCAATTTGGGAAAGAAATCAATTAAATCTGAATGTGGACGCGTGTAAATATTCAAATGTAACCCCCTTTGTAATCGTTAACATTTTCATAAGTAACTGTAATTTAATTACACATTTTTTCTTAGTAACTGTAACTGATTACAGTTACATTTATTTTGTAATTAAATTACGTAACGCCGTTACATGTAACTAGTTACTCCCCAACATTGGATTTACTACATGGACCTTATACAACTGGTAGATTTTAATATCAAACTATACAGATTTTTTTGTCGTATGCTGTAAACTTCTACAGCATATCAATTGTTCTTGTTTAGATTTGAGAATTTATATTTGTCCACCATAGTTTATACATTGAATACAATATCCAAACAATTTTGTACAGCTCTTTTTATAGTCTAAGGGTGTATTCACACCAGGAAAGTCTGCTAGTTCACTTGCTTTGGTCCGGACCAAATACAATGTTGTTGTTTTTTTTGTTTGGTGTGGTTCGCTTTCACACTTCCCTTTTTGCAAGTTATCCACAAATTGTAAACAAAACCACACGTGTGCTAAGGTTATCCATTCATTGGTTCATCCATTCAACCGTACCAGAGTTAGTTTGGAACTGGACCGAGACCACCTCTTCAGCTGGGTCTTGATGTGGTTGTTCGGTCCGCACCTGAGTGCGATTGCTGTATTCACACCTGCCAAAAAGATCCGCATGAGTTCGATTCAATCGAACCAAACAAGACAGGTGTGAATACAGCCTAAAATTAAATGTGCTTTTACGTACACTGTGACTTTGCTTCTTTTTGCTGGTTCAGCTGATAATATTTCAAAGTTTGTGACTTTATAAAGGCAAATAATATGGTTGCTTTTTGTTTTGAAAGACAAACAAATTATTTTTAGTGTTGTTTTACCTTTAGTAGGGATGTATCTCTAACATCCATACCTAAATCTACACTCATGCAAAGCATATCAACAGACTTTGACAGACATGTTAACAGTATTACCATAGGACACCAATTCCGTGTGGTCTTCAAAAGAGCTGTAGCATTTGTAAATGCATGCAAAGATAGCTAAGGAGAAACAGACTTTTGATAACCTAACGCATGCACCGGGTTTCAGGTGAAGTGGAAACCCCCTGCTTGGTTACAGCTCACTGGCTGTCAGAGCGCAGCTTGAATTCAGGGCGAGGAGTTTTATTTTTGGCATGGAAAAGGGGTAGGTCACCATGTCCTGTTGCTCTGTTCTACTAATCTTCCCCCAGCACACTCTGAGTTGGACCCTGCAGCTGCACACTTAATTGCACAGCAATTCTTGCACAGGTAAAAAAACAAATGCACAATTTAGCTTTCATGTGGGATCTGTTAGTGGGTGTCTGGTGCATGGCTCTGTGAGAGATATTAGGCCTCGGCTTGCTGTGCTGACTAAAGTATCAAAGTGCCTGCCTTAAAACCATTGAAAGTTGCTTTTGTCATTGAACATCTTTGTTCGACATATATAATATTTAACAATTTGTGGCCTTTATGCTCTTTGTATTTGTATATCACAGTGCCTGTACAGTACTGCAGTAATTGATATCCATCTCATATCTGTCTGTTCATCTTTTTTGCAGATCAGCATCATCTCTCTTCTCTAGATTTACCGTAAGTCTCACAAATGCTCTTAACACTATCATCATACCTGGAAGTAAATAATTAAAAAAATATATATTGCAGTTGAATGTATTATAATACCCAATTGCTAACAGTGCATATTATCATGAAGTCTTTTCTCTGTTAAGTTGAGGAACAGGGAATTAGAGCCTAAATCAGGCATGTCTCAGGTCTCTGCTTATCTCACACAGGTCTAAGGAAAGCATGGACTCACAAAGACCTTAGAGCAGTTTTATTAATCAGCCTGGGAATTAGGTCACTGAGGTTATATAATGCAATATAGTGAATTATTAAATGGATTCTAATGGATATATAAAGTAGTGTCATCTTCACATCTATGCTGTTGTGTGAGAACTGAGGCTGGGGTGTTTATCTTTCCAGTCTTATTGTGGCTGCAGGATGTGCAGTCTTTCAGTGAGCAAAAATAAAATGTAGAGCAGCTCATGATCACATTTCAGCGACACAGATACCAAAGTAACCCAGATACAGAGTGAGTCACAGACTGTATTTACTTGCAAGAATATTAATTTGGTGATATTCTGTATAATTGTCCATTTTAATTTGGTCATTTCTGTCATATTATGCAAGTGTTATGCATGCTTATCAATCTAATTTAACAGAGGTGGAAAACCTTACCTCTCTGCAAAATTACTTGTCGTTGTAGTATTTATAAATGCCTGTGTATGTTCTTAAAAAATATGGAACTGAAGAGAAAAGAGTATGGACAAAGTGACAGAACATTCAGAGAAAATTGATATGTTTTATTAACTTTTTTTGTGACAGATACACCTTCCACTGCACAGTCACTTGGTGATTGGTTTACATGTGTGGACTGTGTAATGCTACTTAACAGAATGTTATTCACTTATATGGAGAAAATATTCTAGAAAAATCATGAGAGGGAAGAAAAATGACAAAAATGAGAGCAGGATGGTGAGAGTTAAAATGTTCAGGATTAAACTAAATTTAATTAAACAAAAAGAGAACTTGAACAGATAAAAATAATTAATTAAACATTTTGACCCCAAAAAAATTAAAACAAGAAACAAACATGTACATGTATCTTTCAGTAAATGACTATATAGCACTTTGTGCCACTGGGTTCAGAGATGACAGTTCAGATTATTGTCTGATACCCTCTTCCAGACTACATTCTGTATTTAATACTGACTGGTGTTGTTCC